CGACCTCCGGAGTCGCGGGCGCCAATGTGTCAGATGTTTTTGAGCCAGCGAAAATATAACAGCATGTGCTTTGCTTTCTAGGCCAAAGGTTTTCAAGGTGTGTCTCCATTTACCCTCAGGGAATCTCCTTTGTGTATATCGCACTGGTCAAGGTGTCGTCTGTTGCTTGTGTCTATGGAAGCTCAAAAAGTGAAACAATGATGCTGTTGAGAGTGAGACACTATAAACCCAGTGTTTTTTCTGACAGATGCTGTTTGTTTACTTAGCAGTGTCACATTATAAAGCACCTAGAAAATTCAGCGCTTTTTTGAACTTTAAACTGCATAAACACATTTCATTACACCAAATACACAAAATAATGTTATTTTTAGCAGCATCATATGACCCCTTTAAATAGTTGCTTAAATTACCTATAATGCATTACGAACGAACATAAATGGGCAATGAATAATAATGTCGATTTATGTTATTGTGCAAAAAGTGTTCATTGTTAGTTTATGAGACCTAATGCATTAACTAATTTTAACAAATTTAACCTTGTGAAGTTTTGTATGTATATGGTGTTTAAAAGATCATTAGTAATGTTTGCTAATTCAAAGAATTATCTAATTTGGTATCAGCAGTTTACTTAGTAATCATTACGTAATCTTCCTCGTGGAAAAGAGAGCTTTGGAATTGCAGAGGTTATGTACATTTTAAAGGATCCAGGTCCAGCTATCCCAGGCGATTTGTGCTAATAGCTTAATTTTTAAGTATCTGATTACCTAGCACAAAGGTTGCTGGTTCATTTCCAAGTAATGTTGTCCCTGGAGTTCCAGTGATCCCAATCCTGCTCCGCCACCATTGTGCCTTTTAGCAGGGTACAGTGTGCTAGGATGCTTCAGCAGGACTGTCCTTGCAAATACTGTACTTCGAGCGGCTGGGGTGAACTGCAATAGTTAGTTGAATTACTGATGTGAGTAAACCCTGATCTTGATTTGAATGTGACTTTAACATTTATTCCATGCGTGGTTGAAGACGTTCAGCAGACTCATAATTGTCACATAGTTGCCTGTGCATTTTTTTTCTCACAGTTTTTCATTTCTTTAACTTGATTTCTAATACTCTTTTGTCATTAACGATGATTAGGAGGGAAGCTTTTATGCCACAGGTGTTGGCTGGTCTTATTTCACAGTCACACATTGTTCTGTTGTTATTTAGGTATGAGGAAGTAGTTTAAGTCACCTGCCTGTACTGTACGCTCTATAATTTCCTTATATTCTGAGGCTGAACTTCCCACTTTTGTAGCTTGGTTTCCTACACCATTTCCTCAGACCCAGAGTTTTGGTCTCAGGGAAACACTACAGTGTTTGTGTGTCACCTATTACTGACTTCATGAGCCAGTGGATTAGATCAGAAACCAAACTGCTTGTTCTTTGTTATTCGGTTGTGTTTGCAGTGATTACCTACTTATTACATTTTAAAATATGAAGGATATAATTCACATCTATGCATTTAACAGATAAATAATTTCAGATAAAATGAATCAGTTTTTTTTAAGGCTTTTGTCTCTTATGCTCACCAAGGCTACATTTACTTGATCAAAAACACAGTAAAAACAGTATAATATTGTGAAATATTATTACAACTTGTAATATGTGAATATATTGTGAAATGTAATTAATTCCTGTGATGCAAAACTGAATTTTCGCATGATCCTTCAGAAATATTAAATATTATATTCAGAAATAATTCTAATATGCTGATTGGCTGCTCAACAAACATTTTATTTTGCATACATATTTTTTTGTTGTTGTGTGTTTATTTGTTTTTGCCATTTTATTATTGGGGCCCGTTCTTCATACCTCGCTTAATACATCTGAGATGATTTGAAAGATGTCAGATCTTCTAATCGTGATAACTGATCTCTGGCTAATTTGGTTCTTCAAACGAACGAAATTTGTGGATCTGATTAAAATATCTGGATTAAGTTGTCTAAGATTACTGCGCGTTCTCGTGTTCCCCGTAAAGGGCAGATGTATCGATACTCGAAACCACGATCAGCAATGCAGCGATTGGCTGGCGATAATATAGCAACGTGATGACATCATATAATTAAAAAAGACACCTGACGAAAAACTTGACAAATTTCTGGACCATTATAAGGAAACAGCCAAGTGAACAAAACTACATAAATGTTATAATAGATAAATGAAATGTGCACTGTTTTTATTTTTTATTTTTTTACATGATTCCCAATTATTAATATTCACGATTTCTAGTATTTGTACAGGCTTACATTTTTAGTTCAGTGTTGTAATTAGCAATTCATGTAACTTTATCTTTGAAGCAGATTTGTTATGTGACATAATTAATTAAGTTTCTTAAGGGTCAAGATCATGTTATCTGCGTCTCCTGCACTCCATCAAGCCACTCCCATAATAGCTGTCATCACTCAAATCAATGCATGGCTCAGATTAGCATGTGTGTAAGACTCCAATACAATTATAAAGTAGGGCTGGATTATTCGAATATTCGTTCGGTGGGTTGGCATTCGATTTTCAATTTTGAGATTCGAATATTCTTTTTATTTTTTTCTCTCTCGAACACCTGGCATCCTCCGCGAAACGGTTCTCATTCGCGCTTGAATATGAATCGCCCACGAGTGAACGTCTTGAACGTCATGATTCAGTTCATCTGGAATGAGTGAGGACAAGACAAAGGCAGTGTGCCAAATATGCGATTTGAAACTGGCCTACCACAACAGCACATCAAGTTTGAAAAATCACCTGAGTTCTGTAAGTAGTACGCCTATAGTATATTGTTGGTGTAAAAAAACGAGCTGCTTTTATCCGCCATGTTAATCAGTAATTTTACTCACGATAAAAATGTGCACTTAATTTGCTTGGAAAATGCTTGCGAATACGGCAGTCATAAAAAAACGTACATTGGCTGAACAGTTCTCGACATAATAAAAATGCAAACAGACAGACAGTCACACAGAGATTCCTGCCTTTATTACACTGTGTCTACACCGGACACGACAACAGCTAAAGCCACGCCGCGCCGCATCCAGTGTAGACAGCATCCTATAGGTTCTATTGTATTTTGTCGCGGCCCGGCGTTGGGTGTAGACACGTGTTGAGAGAAGAATATGTTCAGCCCCCTCCCTCCGAAGCTTCGAATATTCGGTGTTGAATACTACCGAAGCTTTGAAGCTCAAAAAATGGTATTGGGACCAGCCCTATTGTAAAGTAATTATTTTATCACGAATAAATCTTTCAATGAGTAAAACTGGCTGTGTCTGTAGTATAATAGATTACACAACATTTATAATATCATTTATCAATTTTTATTATTTTAAATTATTGTCCCCGGATTAGTAGGGTACTCTTGTAATAAAGTAGCAGTGGCTGGGACAGATTTTAAATATCAAGTTCACTTAAAAAGATGCAAGTTTACGGACCTGTTGCTATGACAGCTAGTCCAGGAGGAGCTTCGAAGAACCAAATAATCCAAGATCATGCCAAATCGACAACAATCAAATCCAGCTAACAGAGTTGGCGACGTACGAAGAACGGGCCCTTGTTCTGCATCGTATGCCATTCCTAGACGTATGTTTATGAATTTATGAAGTTACAGCTGTATAATTTCCAGCTCTTTGCAAATTTAATTTTGACATTGTCACAGGATTTCATTGCTTAAATTTATGTGACAAAATCAAAGCCACGCCGCCTCGGCTCCAGACTCATTCTTCCCACTGGTCGCTCTTTTGCAACTAACTTTCTCAGCTGGTCGCACCAGCACATGATTTGGTATATTTAGTATACATTTGGTATATTTATATTTGATTTGGATAAACACTGAGGAATCAAATAAATAAATAAAAGAGAGCCTCCATAGCATAATGTGAGGTAAACGGCAAAGATAAGTTTTTCCAAAATGGAAACAAAATGTTCACCTTCTCTGGTTTAAGAAGCAGTCTTTTACTTGACTTATGCTTGAAAACCATCCATCGTTTCCTCAATATGCGCATCATTTTTGCTGCGCGCATCTTCGCGCTCGTGCTGACGCGGCGAGTATACTCTCTAAGTGCGGTTTCGTTTGCCGTTTGATGTTTCTCATATGCAACAGAAATTGCAGCGCTTATGAGTTGACTAACCTGGTGGTCGCGCCAGTGCGACTGCATACAAAATTTAGTCGCATGGGCAGAAAAAATGGTCGCAGTCTGGAGCCCTGCTCCTCCAAAATGATTGGACAAACATTTTATGGTCCTACGCCTTCCACAGATGATAGAAATACATTTAGAGCACTTAACTTAGTGATTGCTGACTTTCCCAGTAACGGCTGTACACAAAGCAGCGCTCAGCTCACAAACGCTGCTCAGGCATTACAGGCAAGATGAAATGAAAATGACATCCATAATTTTCTGAAGGCAGTCGGTTTCCTTCAGAAATACAGTGATATAAAAACACCCACACCGGGTTTTGACTTTGACACGTGCAGTGCTCATGTTTATTCAACGAAGTCAAAGCCTTTTGGAAAATCTATTTGTGGCGGTCAGTTTTGATATTGTGGCGGGCGCCACAAATAAATCAATGTATGGGAAACACTGAGAAGATCTAAATATTAAAAATTAAAATGAAACTTACCTGCTTGAACTCTTTCATTTGATCCGGGTGTCTGTCTTTAAAGTGTTTTGTTA